ATTAAGGATGGCCTTGAACTCAGCTGATATAGTCCAGGCTGGCCTAGAACTGACAGTGATTCTCCTACCTCAGCCTCCCAAGTGCTGGGATTTTAGGCATGCACCATGCCTGGTGGGTTGTTAGCACTTTAACAAGTTCTTTGGTATGAGATAGTCAGTCCCGGAAAACTCTAGCTCCTCTCCCAACTTGTAACAGATCCTGCTCTCTTGCCCATAGGACTGTTTTGAGAATTTCATTCATTCATTCATTCATTCATTCATTCATTCATTCATTCATTCATTCATTCAGCAAGTACTGTTCCAGGGCTTGTGGTAGGCAGTGCCAGAAGGAGTGCAAACCAGCAGGACTTCCCTGCAGTGAGGTCACAGCCCTCAGGGAGAAGACCCTCAGAAGCATTCTCAGACCCACGTTAATCCCAGGTGCACTCCAGCTCCCACTGTACAGGGCATGGTCATCTCTACCAGGTGTGTGAGGCTTGGGCAAGTTTGGACCCTTGCCTGAGCTCACCCTCTAGAAGCGGGCACAGCAGGGTGGAGTCCACACTAACAGTTTGTGCTCAGTGCCTGGAGAACACCAACAGAGCAGTGGTAGAGTACAGACCCAAGGCAGTTTGTTGCAGTGGCCTGAGTGGGAAGTATACAGAAGGGACAGCTATGTGGAGATCAGGCAGGTGCCCCAGTGGCAGATATGATGGTGCCCAGACAGGTGTGGAAGGACACAATGTGTCTGATGAATATTTGTGCTTTGACACAGGGTGTCACTGAATTGGCCAGGCCTGTAATCCCGGCACTCTGGGAAGCTGCAGCAGGAGCTGTTTCCATTTTTAAGTGACTTGTGTCTCCTGCCTTCCTGCACCCCAGCAAGCAGAAGGAGGCTGAGCGTGGACGTGCTGGGAGGAGTGTTGGGAAGCTGTAGATCTCACCTGAGGCTGTGGAGGGTTGAGTATGCATGTGTGTGTGTGTGTGTGTGTGTGTGTGTGTGTGTGTGTGTGTGTGTCAGCCCCAGAGCAAGGCATGGCAAATATCTTCCCATTTTATAAATTTTAATTCTTTGATATTTTGAAAATGTTTAATATTTGCAGCATAGTAATACATAATGTTACTGCCTCTGACTTACATATTTTCACCCTATTTTTACATGAAGGGTGAGTTTTATAGTGTAGGTGGGTACTGGCAGTCAGTATTGCCTGAGTATGAGATGCAGGCTCGAGGTCCCAAGAGGTGGGCGCCCAGTGTGACTGAGGGGACATGAAAAGGTGACCATGTGGGGTGCATGGTTGGTGTGGGACCCATCAGGAGCTGAGACCTTTGTTGGGTGATCAGAAGCCATTGGGGATTTAAGTAACCTGGTTGGTGGATGTTTTCACAAACACCTCTGGCAGCTGGGTAAGAGCTGGCGGGAAAGCACAGGCTGTGTGGCCGTGCCGCTCCTGGAGGGGAAGAGGTCTACGGTTGGAGGGGAAGCAGTTGAGTTACAGACATGGTAAGCCGACATGCCTCGGAGGGAACAGAAATATATGTTAAATCAATATTCTTGAGAGCCATAGTGTGTTGAAGATGAGTACTTCCTAACCCTTTGGGCATTCAAGGTCCTTTCTAAAACTATCACTCCTAACTAGTACCCAGAGGCACACACACGCCCAGTTTGAGGAAAGAGGTTTCCAAACTCCGTGTGAGAGGCTGGCACCCCCGCCTCACTGGGCTGCCGACATGCACGGACACTGCGCTTACCACTGGTAGACCTTGATTGCTTGGTTGTTCACGATCAGCTGCCCGTTCTTGTGATCCACACACCCTTTATATCTGCCGTGTGTGGAATCATACTGGAACATGTACACCTGCAGAGATGGAGTGCGTCCTAGCCTTGGTGGCAGAGGGAGCTGCCCTAGACAGTGCCCATGTTGGTGGAGATTCTGCTCTGCAGCTGGAGCCTTGCATGGAGCTCCCTGAGCCCCCTCCCCACCTCCCTCCCACTCTCTGGTCCCAACCTCTGCCTGCTCCTCACCATGTACTCCGGATCAATGAATGGGTCATTCACAGCCACCACTCTAATGCCCTTCTCCATGCAGGCTCGCAACACCAGGCGACCAATACGTCCAAATCTGTCCAGAGACAGGCAGAGGAGGGGTGGAAGATAAGAGGGTGAAAGGGATGCTCTGACGCCAGCGTCCCCACTAACACTCATACTGAAATGCAATCCCCATTGTGACGTATTAAGAGAGGTATTCGGAGAGTGAACTCATGAGGGCAGGACCCTCATATGGCATTGTAACAGCTGTATAGAAGAGACCCAATCTAGCAAGCATGCCCTGTCTCACCGTGTGAGGCCCTGCATGGCCTTGGGACAGTGCAGTCCCCACCAGCAAGAAGGTTCCCAACAGATGCTGTTCCTTGACCTTGACCTTCCTAGCTTCTAGAACTAAGTACATTTCTTTTCTTTAAGTATTATTTAATCTCTTGTATTCAGTTCCAGGAACAGAAAATGGGCTAAGGAGGACGCCCACTCCAGGGTGTTGGATGTCGGTCCTCAGTTTGGGAGAAAAGGCAACCACGTCTGTGCAGACCGTTGTTGTCTCCTGCACACAAGAGCTCACCTCAACTTCATTTTCTGTTTCTTCTATCTATTTGTTCCTTGTCCCCTGTTTTTAACCTTGTGGCTGAATGGATTTGTTAAAACTTCAAGTCTGATTATGTCTCTTGGCATGAAAACCTCCATGACTACCAGTGTGTGGAGGACCACCTGAGCAGAAGAAGAGCGACTGTCTCCATTCTGACTGAGCCTGACCCTGTTTCCTCGTATTGTTCTGTACAGAGCTGGCTAGGACTTCTGTTTATCCTTCAATTGGCCTTAAGCAATGTATATTGGTCTGGCTGAGGTGCTGGTGATAGTCTTTGAAGGCGGCGTGCGTGTTTCCCTGGTAACCTACACCTGCTGCTCTTTAATGTGAGCTGGGTTGAGACAGGATGGTAGATTTAATGCTCCATGCTGCCAGCTGGGATCGAGCCTGGAGATAGAGGCTATGACTTCCTGGGGCTTAAAAGGCTACACCAAAGCTGAAGCACCAGACTTACCAAAACATTAGATACTATATAATGCAGATTACTCTCTCTGCATATCCTCTCTGCAAATCACAGAGGTAAATGTAGGCCACCCACCTAGCTCAGCTCATAGTAGTCACTTATTTCCCACAATTCTGTCAATCCTCCTCAAGCCACTCCCCCATTGAATAAAACCGGGTGAGGCCCTGGGTCACTCTTTCGGTTCCAGAAAGCCGTCTTCGTGGCTGGACTTAGAGCCCCTTGACTCCCTGATGATTGAAAATATAATTTAGGGGCTGGAGAGATGGCTCAGTGGTCTAAAGCACCTACTTGAAACAAGCTTGGCAATGCACAGGGACCGCGGTTCAATCCCCCAGCACCACATGCCAGCCAGCCCCGCCCCCTGGTGGGCTGAGCTGGCCACACACACACATAAATAAATAAATAAATGTTAAAAAAAAAAAAAAGAAAATATAATTTAGTGTCTTTATTTTTGCCGTGGGTTGCATTGAAAGTGGTAGATTGGAATCAACTTGATGGGATTCCAATAACGTAACTTTGGGGTTATAAATATTGGCTTCTTGGATGGAGACGAGGACCTGGAAGTGTCTCCTACACCAGTGAAACAAGAGCCGGACTTCTTACCGTGTGAACTTGGCCCCTGCTGCTCTCCCTTTCCTTCAGCCTTCTCTTCCCCTTCCCCTTCGTGGTCTCTACACCACCCTGCACTGACGTACTTACTTCCTGGCCGTCCCTGAGCAGAGCACTCTGAGCTTGAACCCCACAGCCCTTGCTTCTGCAGCTGCCTGAGGGACTCTTTCCCAAGCAAGACACAGCTGGTGCCTTTTGTCACTCCGGCCTCACCCTCATGACACCTCCTAGAGGCCTTCCTGATGCTGCCCTCTCCAGCCTCAGTCACCGCGAGGCCTGCACAGTTCACAGCGCGTGTCCCTGAGCCGTGCTCCCCGGCCTGAGGCAACTCACCCATTGATGCCCACTATCAGCTCTGGACGTGGGGGTAGTTTCTTGGGTGTTGGAGAAGGAGGAGGCGGCAGTGGCTTGACCTCCTCCCTGACTGGCTTAGGCTCTGGCTGTGGCTCTGGTGGGGGTGGGGGTGGTCTGATCACTGTGGGGAGAACAACATGTTGGGGAAGGGAGGCAGTGAGCTCTACCACTCCATGAAAGACAAGGAACCACCTTTGCCACTCAGAACCTGTTGCTGACTGGCCTCTGGAGGCCACATGTGCAGCCTGGCGTTTCCCAGACCCACTTGATCAGAATGAGAAAGGGACAGAGTGGTTTTAAAATATCAATGCCAAGGCCCCTTCTCTGGAAACTCAGATTCAGTGGGCATGTAGTTTTAGCAATTCTTTGAGATCATATTCTCTGCACCTCAGTTTCCTCCTCTGTGGAGTGTTTTCAACAAAAAAGAAAAAAAAATAGCGCTTTCTCCCGGAGGGTCACTGTGAGGATTATCTGAGGTAACATAGCTAGTGTTTAGGATAGAGCTGAGAAAGCATTCTACACGTTTATATTTCAAAGATTATTTCCTGAACCTGTGAGACAATTGTCTGATATCTGATAATTAATAAAGCAGTTAATCTTTTTTTGTACTCTCAAATCTGGAGCATATTTTACACCTAACATACCCCTTAGTCCCTCAAATTGTAATGATGTTGCGACTTACCTGGGGAGGCCTCTTCCTAGAAAAACAGGACTGGGGGCCTCCCCCTTAGCTCAGTTCTTTAAGTGGCTGCTTCAACAAAGCAGTCAGGCTCAGGTTGCTGTGGTTCCATCCCCACAACTCAAGCCAGCCAAACCTGCCATGAAGGCATTAAAAAAAAAATCCTAGAAAAATAGGACTCAGTGGGTCTGTACTAAGGCCCAAGAACACTGGTTTAAAAAATAAAAATTATTTTTCTATCTAGAGACAGTCTGGTGACATAGGCCAGGCTGGCCTCAAGCACCTAGTCCTCCTGCCTCAGTCTCCAGAGGTCTGGGGTGACAGACGTGTGCCACCATGTCCACCATGTCCAGCAAAATCTTGCTTCTAAATGAGCACTCAGGTAGTTATTCCCCTCAGGACAGTGTAGGAGGTAGAGTTCCTAGACCTCCTAAAACAAGTGGGAACCACATCAGCTCCCACCTCTCTCTGCCTGTGCTCCCTACCCCATCTTGCCTGGGGCCGTGCTTCCACCTGAGCCACGGGGGAGAAGTGCAGACCACACTCTGGGTGGCACAGGGTTCTAAGCTGTGAGTCAGACTTGGATGGCAGCCCTGGCTTGGTAACCTGCCACCGTGTGGTGCTTGGGCAAGCTAATGAACCTCTCTAGTCTGTTTCCTGGATGTCACAACTGACCCTCCGTCTAGAGGCTGCTGCAAGGGTTCAGTGAGATCTCAAGCCTCACAAGTAGATACTGATTTTAGTAGAGGAGGGCAGGAGTCTGATCCTCAGGGTATTCACGGGGGATGGGAGGGAGGAGAGGTTGGGGAGGACTACATGATGTTGGTAGGAATGGCTTTTGGGATGAAAATCAAAAGCCCCTGGGGATCAGCTGGCTTGTCTCCCTGCCTTCTCCCCATGGCCAGAGCCATGTGGCAGGAGGCTGGGCAGCACAAGTTCATAAAGGTACTATATTAGTGTTTATTGATGGCAGTGACCTTGAGGTTCCCAATGACCTTGAGAATGCTGTCATTCCCCAAAGTTCCATTTCTGCTGTGGTAAAAGGAACCCACTTGTGCTCCTGCTTCAGAGTGGGGCTCTAGCTAGGTCCACTTAGTGACCTTTCAGAAAAAAAGCCTATCTTCTCTCCCCCCTGACTCCAGTCTAGGTGGGGTACCTGGTTGGGGAGTGCTGGACTAAGGAAGTGCTGTGCTGAGCTCTCACTGTCCATCAGCTCACCAATTTCGGGAAGAAGCTGAAGGTCACAGAACCAGCCACCTCTAGCTGTTAACCTACTAACTTTTCTTAGGACCCTGAACCCCTCAGGCTGCCCACTGTGACCCCCACTTGTGAGAAGTGAGGATGCAGGCTGGTATAGGGGCAGCCCTCCTAGAAAGGCTAGGTTTCTTTGGCTTGAGTGTGTGGGTGTACGCGTGTGCACATGTGTGCTCACATGCATGCCCCTCTGGCTGAGTGAGGCGGGACATCCCCTGGCCTGGAGCACAAGTCAATCCCTTGACAGAATCCAGGGCCACCATTCCTTGGCTGAGTCAGCTAAGTGGCTTGCTCTCTCCTAACCTCTGCTGGAAGCCTGGGCCCGGATGTACAGGCCTCACCTGGTGGTGAATACACGCAGAATCTGAATATCCCTGCCCGGCTGGCTGCAAGTGTCTGTTTGTGTAATACGGTGCAGTGGGGCAGAGCCCACGAACACCCAGAGCTGCCTCCTCACTGCTCCCCACGAGTCAGTTTGATGTGGGAAACTAGTCACTAGGTCCCCCATCCCCACTCCACAGGACAGCCACCCACCCTTTCCTCCCAGGTCTTGGCTCCTGCTTCTGTAATCGAAGCTCGTTTGGTGCTAAACCTCCCGGGCCCCCAGAGAGCCCTGCAGCCCCCATCAGCAGAGAAATCACAGGAAGGGTGGGTTGCGGCTTCTGGGAGGGGACGCAGCTGGGGCGGAGAGGGACCTTGGTCCTTCTTGAGGTCACCGTGGCAGTGCCTTCCTCACCTGTGCATGGTGGTCGCAGCAGTTGGACAACGGTGACATTGGTGAGGACGACGTCGCGTCTCGACATGGTCTCCTAAAGTTTCATGGCCTAGCTACCCCGGGACCTGTGATGTGACTGAAGTAAGGGGCGACAGGGCAGGGGGGTTGGCAGCTTCTCATTGAGGTGTCACAATGCCCCAGTGACATCACAGAGGAGGCAGCAACCTCGCTGGGAGGACCCAAGCCATCCTCGCCACACCCTCGACGTAGGTGGCCACTGGTCCAAGCCCCCTCCCCTTCTGAAATGGAATCTCCTTTTTGACCCCGGGCCCTCATAGATTTTTCTCTCTCCTCGCTCATGGTTTCTTTCCATGTCATCCTTTAAGACTCTGCAGCTGAAGTTCCTTGCTTCCGTAGTAACTATCCTCCCTCAGCCTACCTACCTCAGTCTTTCACCCACCTTTCAGGAAAGCTTTCTCTCACTTCTGGTCCCAAATAGAGGTTCCAACATGCAGAACTACTCCAGAGCCTGACAAGGGAGGCGGAGGCAAGAGCCCCGGAGTTGGAGTCCAGCCTGGGCAACAGAGCTGGAGCCTATCTCAAAAGCAAACAACCCTGCCCAACCCAAAGCAACCCAAACTACTTTAGAACTGTTCTTTCTTTTATTTATTCCCTCCTGAGGTGTCACATTGTCATCTGGTCTTTGCCTCTAGACCATAACTCTAGAACAGCATGGACCTGGTCTATCTTTGTCACTTCTATATCCTGTTGACTAGAAGAATGTTTGGCACTTAGAAGGTGTTTGCTCAATAAATAATCGAGGCCTACCTTCGAGATACTCGGTTCTGTTCCAGATCACTGCAACTAAGTAAAGTAGGTCATACAAAATTTTGGTTTCTCAGGGTAAAACAAGACTTACAGAGGGCTGGTGAGATGGCTCAGTGGTCTAAAGCACCTACTTAGAACAACTTTAGCAAAGCACAGGGACCACGGTTCAATCCCCCAGCACAACATGCCAGCCAGCCCCGCCCCCTGGTGGGCTGAGCTGGCCACACAAATAAATAAATAAAATTTTTTAAAAACCAGCAATTTGAATATCTGTGATCAGTATCCATATTTAAAAAAAAAAAAAGCATACTGTAAGTGTGCAAAAGCGCTATGTAAAAATACAATATGAGCCAGATGTGGTGGCACACGCCTATAATCCCAAGCACTCAGGAGGCTCAGGCAGGGGATCACTGTTAGTTTTGAGGCCAGCCTGGCCTCTCTGGTAAGTTCAAGGCCAGCCTGAACTACACAGCAAGACCCTGTCCCAGTGAATGAATGAATGAATGAATGAATGAATGAATGAATGAATGAATATTTTTAAACCTTTTTTTTGAGGTGAGGTCTTGCTGTGTTGCCCAAGCTGGCCTCAAACTTTTGACCCTCCTACCCTAGTCTCCCTAGTAGTCAGAATTACAGGCACATGCCACTGCCTACCTCAGTCTAACTGTGAGCACAGCTCAGCAGAAGAGTGTTTGCCTAACCTGAGCAAGGCCTTGGCTTTAATCCTTTAATTCTGCAAGAAACAAAGCAAAACAAAATAATTAAGGTATTACTGGAAAAAAAATAAAAAGCTACTGAGTGTCTAGTTCCAGCTATTTGGAAGGCTAAAGCAGAAGGATCATTTGAGTCTACAAGTTTGAAACCAGCCTGGGCAATGTAGTAAGATTCCATTTCTAAACAAACAATGCTAAGGATCATCTGAGCTGTTGAAAAATAGAACTTGGTCCATGCAGGGTACCACAGAGCTTCAGTTGTAAAAACAGTGCAGCATCTGTGAAGCATAGTTAAGCAAAGCACAGTGAAATGAGACTGGCCTGGATCCAAATGAATAAATAAAGGCTGCCTCTTCATATTTCTTCTGCTCCCCAGTCTTTCTTTAAGAAACCACCAAGTTGGGAGCCGGGGAGATGGCTCAGTGGAATAAGTGCTTCCCTGGCAAGCGCAAGGGCCTGAGTTCAATCCCCGGTTCCACAAAAAAAAAAAAAGAAAGAAACCACCAAGTCCCATCTTCTCACAGCATCCTGTTCCTTTCCTTGTAGCTTTTCTTGCCATGTGCTACCACCTCGTTGTTCATTGCAGGCTCCTGGTCTCTGCCAGGGGCTCCGAATCCACCATGGGATGTACATTCTGATCCCAGTGCCACCAGTGCCCAGTACAGGGCCTGGCACACTGCAAGCTTTCAGAAAACATTTGAGAAAGAGCACCATTGGACAAATGGCACCTTCCTCCAAAGCCGTGCTGGGGGGGAGGGGTGACTCACAGGCAGGCACCTTCACTGGCAGGGCCGGTTGACACGCAGATGTGACCAAGATTTAGGGGTGTGGGCATTTGTGCTAAGCCACCACCCCAGAAAGGTGGAAGCAAAAAGTCATACAATGACATAACCCCTTCTTTCCCCAAAAAACTCCATGGAAACTCAGTTTGCCAACTACCTGCCAGGGACAGTAGAAGAAGAGGACCAAAAATTATTTGGGGAAAAATAAGTTGATTCCAATGAATCAAAGCCGAAATTCAGATGGGTAATCAAACAAAGGAGAACAGATTTTAACATGCACAACCAAGGAAGGAAAGAAGGAAGGAAGGAAGGAAGGAAGGAAGGAAGGAAGGAAGGAAAGAAGGAGGAGGAGGAGGGGGGAGGAGGAGGAAGAAGAAGGAGGAAGAAGAAGAAG